GGGGGACAGACAACAGAAAAGTGGGTGAAGGGAGACATCGGTCAGTGTAAGACATAAAAAAATAACAACAATTTATAAATTATCAAGGGTTCATGAGGGAGGGAGGGTGGGGGAAAGAGGAGGAAAAATGAGGAGCTGAAACAGGGCTCAAGTAGAGAGAACATGTTTTGAGAATGACGATGCAACAAATGAACAAATGTGCTTGACACACATTTGGATCGATGGATGGATTTTGGAAAGAGCTGTAGGAGCCCCCAATAAAATGATTTTAAAAGAAAGAAGGATCAACTCAGAAAAGGAGGATGAGAAGGTTGTACAGAGAATATAATCAATGACATTAAATTGGCACATTTAAGAGCTAATAAAAAAGACAAAACCCAAGGAGTAAATATTATTATCCCAGAGTTACAGCTGAGGAAATGCGGGCCTGCCCAGAGAGTGTAGGTAACTTGCTCTAAGCGACACAGTCTGACCTCTGTGGACAGGAGAGTAGGGACCAGCTTCAATAGGACCCACGCAGCGCCCCCAGCTGGCTCTGTATTTAGGTGCCCCACAGCCCACTAAAGGGGGAAGCAGTCCAATGAGATGCGTATGACACTCAAAGGAGCCAAAGGGAGGTCTTTTGTGGGCAGCGCTGGGGCTGGGGAGCTCCTGGGGGCACACAGCCCTGCGCTGGAGCTCCCTCCCCTCCCCTCTCCACAGTAGGGAAGACTTGGGGCAGGATGCCACCTGCTGCCACCCCCACTTGCCTCAGAACTCTCAGGAGGCCAGCTGCCACCAGCCCCCTCCCCACACAGTGTTTTCACCTCCCTGGGGCAAGGAGGCAGGCAGCTGAGCCCAGCTGTCTGTCTGTGTGAACCCACTTAGCTTGGGGTGATCCAGCAGGGCAGCGTGGCGAAAGTGCCCTGCTGGAGGTGGGTAAACATTAGCCACAATGGCCCCCCACGGATTGAGGCAGCCTCTCACAGGCTCAGGCTGGGCAGCCAGTGGGGGCACTTTGTTCCAAGTGGGTGAGCAAGCTACCACAGCCGTGCAGGCCTCTGGGTGCAGGGCAGACGGCAGCTTCTTCTCCTGACCCCACCCTACTCGTGCCCTCAGCCACTCCCCTCCCCCAAACCTCACTAGCCCCTGAGTCCTTGATTGGAGGTGAGGCCCAAGGAGGGTTTGTTGAGCTGGACTGTGGGTTTCCTGAGGCCCAGGCTGAGCACTACAAGGCATAGCACCCTAGGGCCTGTGGCGCTGAGCTCTGCCAGCAGCCTGTGGAGGCTCTGAGAGGGAAAGAGACTTGCTCAAGGTCACAGACCTAGCTATGCCCGGAGCCCAATCCCTGAACTCTCTGTCCACTGAGAAAAGTGGATGTGGGCAGAACTTTGGCCTCCCAGCCCAAAGCAGAGCCCTGGACCTGAGCAGGCCCCACGCCCACCCCCACCCCCCTGCAGGCCTAGGTTCAACAATTGGGCTCTAATGCCAACTGGACTCTCGCACAGACTGGCACAGGCTGGGGAGCTGGGCCCTCTGCTTTGCGTTCAGCAGAGACATATGGCTGCTGGGAGCTGGACACCAGTGCAAGAAGTCCGATTCAGAGCCCCTGGGGAGGAGTGTGTGTGTGTGTGTGTGTGTGTGTGTGTG